GTAGGGAAGGTAAAGGTTCCTGGTCAGTGATGAACATGTGCTCCTGCCAAAAACTCAAACCATGACAGGTGTACATGATCGAAAAAGCTTGAAAGAAGATCAGAAGCTTGTCTGCGGTGAGTACTGGCTGCTAAGTTCAACAACATTCATCAGTAAAAAATGGTTTTTAAAAATCCACCCTGACCTTTAATTACTTTTGCCCAACTAAATTCAAAGAGTATCAAACACCACTAATAAATCTGTCACTATGTCTGTAGCGGATATTTTGTGTTTAAGAAGCTAGAAAAACTAATAGATACAAGCTTTACTAAACCTCTACAGACACCCTGAAACCAAGCCCCTTCCAGCCAAGCTAGAAAAGAACAGAAACAGCAGCAGCATGTCCAAAGATGGGCATACCCATAAGGGGCGCTGTGGAGTGCCTCCGACGCTCTGTCAAGAAAATGACAGAACATGACAGTGAGCGCATGCTCACTGCAGGTACCTGCTTGCGCTTACTTCACCAGTCTTTGTCAGACATCTTGAGGAACACTGCCTAACGTAAAGTGTTTTCACTCTGCTGTTTTTCACCGATGAGAGGTTTACACTGCTAAATCCAACCTGACAATAAATAAGGAGCATACTTTCCCATCCTCAATAACATGACCACTTGCCAGATGTTCTTCAGGTTTTTCCACCTCTACCCTGGTTTCAGCTTTCACCTATTGTATGACTACCTTGTCTAATCTGTTTTTGTTCACTGAAGATCAGTGATGAAATCCCACAACAATAACTGAGTAGGTTTGTATGCAAATGATACATTCATATCATGATCCAATATCAGAGTGGTACATCGGGGCTATAACTGTATACTCTAATACTACGGGTAACTACTCACTGCTGTTTATCACAGTTTAAGTCTGTCCTGGAAAATAAGAGCACTCAGACAAATTGCAGCAAAACACCCTGGTTGCTTTTAGTTACACGAGCTACACCACCTTTCAAAAGTTTGAAAACACTTTCCCACTGAATTCAATGACAAATTGTGTCCAACATATTGAATGGCAGTGAAGATGTTATTAGGAGCACCTCTCATCCAAACAAACATATAAGAGTTCAGTCCTACAGTTCAACTACTTATTATTTTTCTTTCTGTTTTAGGAAATTAAATGTTAGTACAGATGTATTAGCATGGGGTGTCTATGGGTAGCCTGGGTTTTAAGCTCTTTAGTCATCTTTTCTTAGAATAAATAGCAACAGCTGCAAAAGTGAATTGTACTTTTTCATATGTGTTATGTGATTACTAAAAAAAAATCATTTGGACCAAAAATCAAATCAGAGGTTGTGCGGGTACTCACGTCGTGATCGCCTTCTAAAAAACAGCATCGCCAACAGCAAACCGACAATCAGCGACCCGATGACCACCACAGGAGCCACTATTTTGGATACGTCCTTACTGCCATGTTTTTCTGCTGATGAAATTAAATAAAAAATAAAGATTGAATGCTCTAATACTTCAAGTCATATAAAAAACTAAACATGTGTTGGGCTTATGCAAATGTGGTATGCATGTGATGGTGGGAAATTCCCCCTGTAATACTTCAGGAACCAGCATTCACTTTCTGTTTTACCCGGGAGGTCTACATAGCTTGCACATGAGCTCACTGATAATATGGTTATAAGCAAAACTGAAAACAGACATCAAAAAAGTGGCAGGCAAGCAGGCCTTGGACTGGTGTTGCCAGACTTTTCTATCAGTGGGAAAGAATAGAAAATCTGAAATTTACAGCCTAGGTCACACTGTGAACTGTGTCAAAACACCAGCTGAGCTGCACAGAAAATAGCTGTCTTGAGTTGTTTGTTAAAAAAAAAAAAAAAAACTGTTGAAATTTGGAGGAACAAAATTGCTACCGCAGCACAACACCTTCCCCCATTGGAATGTCCCTCTGTTTTATGGGTTAGTAATTACAACTTTCTAAGATGTTTTTTTTTAACTCATGACCAACATCCATAAGATTTTATTCACTTTTTGGTTTGTGCTACAAAATTCAGACCTCTGTTCTTTCCACAATGCCAACAAGAACAATGTATTACTGTTGGCTGTGGTTCAACTTCCTTGTAGTTAAGCAATCCTGATGATTATATAATGGTTTCACATTAAAGCAAGTCCTTACATGTAACTGGGGCTGAAACTACTGTGTGGCATCTGTTGCTGTGCAGCAGGATTGTGCAAAAGGTCTAAAAGGTATGAAGTATGGTTCTCAACATGCACCTTCAAACATTTTGTCAAGCTTTGTGAAATCATATGTGGCTTCATTCACTCTGCCTCCACTGGCGTTGAACACTACGCAGGCATATTGGTCAAAACTGGATCCATGCAGCAAAGTCAGCTCGCTAGAGAGTTGAAACAGACCACCATCTGTCTGTCTAGCCTCCATTGTAGAGCTTTGTGTCCACTCCGTGTCTGGTGTGCTAAACCAGCGAAGTTGACCTTTTGGGTAGCCACCGTCAGATTTACAGGTTAGGGTTCCAGCTATATTTTCAGTATTCTTGTCACGGCTGAAGCTTATAGTTGGGACACTGTATTTGGCTGCAAAGAGATAATGAAAAACAAATATGATCATTAAGCTGAACATTGCACCATGACATCAATCACATAACACCAATAAAGTATCAGGATATTATTTGTTGAACATGATATATGACAAGCACTATGAAGTACAAATGGTACAACAAATAATGAAGATACTGGCTACTAAAACAAGTATTTAAGCATGTGATTACTTGTCAAGAGTGGAACTGAAAGTATAAAGACCCACACAGCAAAAGATGACGCTACTCGAGGGGAAAACTGATTTGACAGGATAGGAAAGTCCCCTGAACTCTAAACAATTTTCATTCCTTTAACGTTACAATTACATTTTTCAGCAAGTCCATTTTCTAGGAGGCAGAAATGTTTAGAGAAATAGAAACAACTTTCCTCATGGTTGAGCTTTGAAATGACTTTCCAGGGATTCGTTTTTAAGATATCTTCTGGTCTCAAAAGAGTAATTTCTCTGTGCAAAATAATAACATAGTTCAGAGGTCACCTACAGTATGTCTGGAGGTCCTCACCTGTGACTTCAAGGTAGAGGTCACCATCGTCATAACCCCTGTCCGTCATTACATGGCAGAAATAAGCTCCACTGTCCGACAACAAAGTGTTGGTAATGAGCAGGGATACATTCATGTTTTTGTCATTCCAGGATGGCTCAGCAAACTCATACCGTGGCTGTCGTGTAGTTTTCCCTTCCTGAAAAAGAAAAAGAAACTTTTCGTCTCCCTCTTTCTTCCAAGAGACCACCCGGATTTGTGCACCTTTTGCTTCTTTTGAGGTTTCGACAACACACTCCAGCAGTGAATGCTGGCCATATTGTCCCACATTTGAAGTTTTGCATTTTACATCGACAAACCCTGTAGAAGGAAACATATATATTTTCAAAATGGGTGCGAGATTACATCACAACATTTCAAACATGAAATTCTTAGATTATGGCAGATTTTACCTGTCTTTCCTGCAGTGATACAGATAATAATACAAACAGAAAAAAGGGCACCATTGGAGGCCATGTTCTTTTACCTGAAACAACAACAGTAATAATAAAATTAACCATTTTAAGGGGCAGGCAGTTAAAAAGTAACACATCCACATTTTAACTCCTAGGGATCTACTGTATTTTTTAATCAAAATGCAGGGAGCAAAGGACAGTCTAGTTCACCTTGTGAGTATGCCAAGAAAAGTTTTAACTTTTTTTTGTCTTTTTCTGGTCACAGGTACACCACACCACCTGGGGCACACTTGCATATGGAGTGGACTGATGAAATGAATGGCCAAACATAATAAATCCTTTCATTGTCTTTAAAAGCTGCACTCTCTGCACAGTGACAGTGTGTTTCTGTATTGACAGCTTTGATATGAAGACACCAACATTAATGTTAAGGTTTTCATCTGTCTCCACTGTTTGCAATTTGTACTGTCAAAAAGTTAAAAAGGCGTGCTAAAACTAAACGTACTAAACAGAAACTAAAACTGACAACGATCTACCTCTATTCAGTTAATGTCTGCCAGTCGTACTTGTCTGTGGTTTAGTCTGTGCCAACAGCCCAAACCCTCGTACTGTTTTCTTTTCACCTCTTCAACAACTGAAAGATTTCCATAATCTGATCTCTTTAGCTTTTGTTTTTGTTCTTTTTTTGTAACTTGACTTCATCATGCCCAGTGGGTAAAAGGCCATGTAGACAAATAGCTAGCATACCATTTATTTTACTCAAGAGAGGTTGTGTTACTTTCACCAGGTATACAAAAAGAAAGGGGGAAAAGCCTGGGAATTTACACACTGTATGTTTTATTTCTTCCTGGGTTACTTACTAATTTAGTATTTTTTGCAATTATAGTTTTTATCGGTTGTTTTAACACCCACACACTTCTCACATTGGTTACTCAGTGTTAATGAAGATCTGTCATTTTACAGAAAATAAGTTTTTTCTTAAGAAACAGTGGACAGAACTGCTTACCTGAGAAAACAAATAAATTCTGTCCATTTTATTTGTGTATTAAATGACTCAAGGACCCAGACTGAAACAAGTATTAAATTAAGAGATACAGCCAGTAACAGGTTTCCAAAATGAACTTGGGTCTTCACAGAGTTTATTGTTGGGTGTGTGTGCTCAATTATATTTATTTAATTCGAGAGCACAGGATACAAATTCCAAATATTATAGATTATTTGCCTCTCAAGGGCCTTTTTAAAGAAAAACACACATGGGGCGGCTGTGGCTCAGGAGGTAGAGCGGGTCGTTTCCTAACTGGAGGATTAGCGGTTCGACATGTCGAGGTGTCCTTGAGCAAGACACTGAACCCCCGGTTGCTCCCAGTGATGTCACCGGTGTAAACAAAAACACAGGACTACAGTACTTGAGAAACCTGCTTGACCAGCTGTCCATTGATTTTTGTTTCATTATACACGTCACCCTGGACATTAGTGTTATATACACAGGCAGTCATACTGAAAAAGAAAGTAGACTCAAGAAATGTTTCTTTTCATATCACTTAAAGCGTTCTCTTCCTTTTCTTGCATGAGCTCCCTCCTTTTGTCTGAACTGTGATATGTCCATAGCCACAACTGCATCCTATTATGATGACGATGACACTTTATTACAGACTCAAGGTCCAGGTTCAAAAACAAATAAAAGCAATAAAAGAACAGTTTAAAAAAACGAAACAATAAAAAACAGAAAATACATAAAAACTAGAGCACAAGAACACCCATAAAACTACTGCCCCTTTAAAGGACAGGTATACCAGTGTTTCCAGAGAACCAAAGTAAAACGCATGTCACTGTGTGAAACATTAGTCAGCGATAAAATGATATGATTTTTTGAACAGTTCAAGCGACAAATAAATTTAAACATCAGGTTTCTTAAAACAGCGGAAAATGATGTACTAATTCGAGATGACACGAACAATTCACTTGCACTCGTCCATCTAGGCTTTTTCAATAATATCCTTAGGGCGTCATTATAAGCTACTGACAGTTTCCGAAGACTGCCCTTTTTATAATTACACCACAGATGAGCAGTGTACAAGGAAGTGCAATACGCTTTAAACAATGCCAGTTTTACTCCCACGGAGCATGCACCAAATTTCCGGGCCAGTACATTAGCTTGTACATATTGTAATGACCCCTGGCTATAACATGCGGCACTGCCGATATATATCCACGACATCAGACAAACAATCGTTAATGACATGACCCAAATACTTACTGTAACTTCACTGCACACAGTTAAGATATTATCAGATAACTTAAAAGAAGGAAATACAAGGGACCTGTCCTCGTTTGTATATCATAATGACACTTTTGACAGCATTATACTTGACATCGTGACATTCCCCAAACACTGAGCACACATTCAAGAGCTGCTGAAGACCTGCTGAGCTGGGACTAAAAATCACAAGGTCGTCTGCATACATTAAATGATTCACAACTTTGTCACCGACCATACATCCCGTTCTGCACATATTTAGTTCTTTAGACAGATCATTCATGTAAAAATTAAACAAAATTGGGGAAAGCAGACTACCTTGTCTTACGCCGTTATGTCCACAACTGGTATAATTCAGGACAAAACTTCAGCGACATGATTGAAATAAAAAAACAAAAGCTGATTTTTCATCGGAAATGGTCACTCTTAAACCAGCAGAAGAGCAGGTGAGTCTTCTGCCCCTAAGTGATTTGTGTTTGTGAGTGTGAATGCAAATTCCTTAGACTAATATGCTAAACTGGACAAACGTGAAGTTCACATGCTGGACAGTCAGCCTCAAAGCGAAAGAAAAGGAGCACGGTACAAATCGAGACCCTGCAGCTGTGTGGTGGTGTGGCATGATTGTGAGATGCCAAGATGTAATCCATATATCCATTTTACCTCTGACTGTAACACACTGAACATATACATCCTGTTCAGCTAAGATGGATTGCAGGAACTTGAAGCTAGTGAAAAGAATTTATAGACTTCCATTTGACCGATAGATGACGTTGAAGAAGACTCAGGACACCAGAGTTTCCTGGTTCAGGCAGTTCACTGAATGAGCTCGGGTGAACTTTGCTACAGCATCATAATATGGTACAATATTCCCAAAGAATCACCTGGGTTTGTCCTGTACTTATGGAAGCAAGAGAAATTCCTGGTGGCTACACCCTAACTTTAGCCCAACCTAGTTACCTTTAAAGGTGTGTCTAAACTTGTATAGCACATTACACAGAGGCTGACTTGATGTCCCGGCTATTCCAGTCACATATGATCGCTGCTGTTGCATGTGTAGATGGTTCAGTCCTAGTTCAGGTCAAGCACAAGACAATGTGCTCTCAAAGCCAAAGCATATACTACTATTGCCTGAGCAATACAGACATATGACATTTTAAAAATCCACTAATGATTATCTGATTTATTTATTTTTTTATTTATTTGGTAATGTAAGAGATTTTTCGTTTCTTTGTTTTTGCTATGTTCAGACTTTTTTGTGTATGGGGGGCAGTATAAAGACAAACAAACACACAACAAGGTCTGTAGGCCAGAATCAAAATGAGGGGGGTTGTTGTGGTTATATGGTTTCTGTATTAATTGCATATGCACAGTTTTAATAAAAATCCCCTAAATTTGTCTTTTAAAGAACTGTGAAAATGATGTACTGAGTTGGACAAAAAAAAAACTGAAAAAAATAAACTTGCCAACCATGTAAGAGTGTCACTGTTTCGACATATTGTTTCTATAAGAGTTCATATCTGTTGATATATATCAGTCCAGCTGATATATCAATGGACCTCACTGAGGAAGTAAGAGAAAGTCACCACTGTCAAAACTCCTCACCCAGCTGGAGGAAAAACCACTCATCATCACTCACCTAGAAGCCTTCACACCCCCTCATTGCAACTCCTCACTCAAATTCTATATTGTAAGCAACATATCTCACATCATTCAAAGTGACATTAACTAAGTAGCCTACTTCTGCACTGGCATTTGGCTTATTATGCTGCCTTCCAGCCCTGTAAGAAATAATTAGAGTAGGAGCCAACATAAGCCCAATTTAACTACCAAATGTTGTTGTACCTTCGTTGCATCATAGTGTGTCTACAGGCTTGCTACACTGACTAAACTTAAGATTAATTATTGTGCAACCTACAGAGTTTACTGCACAAGAAGTGACTTTCATTTTAAGATATCAGCACTATCTGTGGTTATTTCCAATAGCCTACACTGCCTCTTCATCTCTCTTGAATGCTTATGCGTGGTGAATATAAAAGTAACTTATTCATAGACTGTGGAAAACCCATGTAGGCAACTGGTCAGGTTTCCTTCCTAGAGGTCGGAGTTATTTTAGTCACCCATACTCGACGCTGTGGCCTATATGTAACATAGATGGGTAGGGTAAACATTGTACTAAACTGACTAATAACGTCTTATCGTATTAAAAGAGGAAGCTCTGACAAATCCTAAAACAGACCCATCACGTTAAGACTTCCTTAATTAGTTGTCAGCTTAGAAGGTTACAGTTGATAGGAAACAGGAGCAAAGCTGAGCTTTACCAAGAGCATTTGAAGGCTGCACATAGCCGAACCTGTAGCTCTATGTATTTCTACATAAAGTGCCTCTAGCATGAATAGTAACATAGTCATTACATCAAGGGCACCTTGTCAAAAGTAAGCGATGTCTGTTAAATTACAACCGCCTCGCCAGCTGTTTGTATACGTGTCGTAGCATATGGGCTAGCAGGCTGTAAATACGTCACTCACTGCCAGAAAACGATAATGTAAGGTCAGACTCACCGTACACGCTCCTCTGTAGGGTAACCGAGCCACTTCTATAGGGTGAAGCGTGTGGACTGACCTGAACGGTCGTCCCGGTTCTTCTCTTATCTTACTTTCACTTTCGTTATGAGTAAATGTAGGAGTGACAAACGCGTGGCAGCTGTTCTACAGTATTGTTCAAAATAATAGCAGTACAATGTGACTAACCAAAATAATCCAGGTTTTTTGTATATTTTTTATTGCTACATGGCAAACAAGTTACCAGTAAGTGCAGTAGATTCTCAGAAAGCAAACAAGACCCAGCATTCATGATATGCACGCTCTTAAGGCTGTGCAATTGGGCAATTAGTTGAAAGGGGTGTGTTCAAAAAAATAGCAGTGTGGCATTCAATCAGTGAGGTCATCAATTTTGTGAAATAACAGGTGTGAATCAGGTGGCCCCTATTTAAGGATGAAGCCAGCACTTGTTGAACATGCATTTGAAAGCCTGAGGAAAATGGGTCGTTCAAGACATTGTTCAGAAGAACAGCGTACTTTGATTAAAAAGTTGATTGGAGAGGGGAAAACCTATAAAGAGGTGCAAAAAATTATAGGCTGTTCAGCTAAAATGATCTCCAATGCCTGAAAATGGAGAGCAAAACCAGAGAGACGTGGAAGAAAACGGAAGACAACCATCAAAATGGATCGAAGAATAACCAGAATGGCAAAGGCCCAGCCAATGATCAGCTCCAGGATGATCAAAGACAGTCTGGAGTTACCTGTAAGTACTGTGACAGTTAGAAGACGTCTGTGTGAAGCTAATCTATTTTCAAGAATCCCCCGCAAAGTCCCTCTGTTAAAAAAAAAGGCACGTGCAGAAGAGGTTACAATTTGCCAAAGAACACATCAACTGGCCTAAAGAGAAATGGAGAAACATTTTGTGGACTGATGAGAGTAAAATTGTTCTTTTTGGGTCCAAGGGCCACAGACAGTTTGTGAGACGACCCCCAAACTCTGAATTCAAGCCACAGTACACAGTGAAGACAGTGAAGCATGGTGGTGCAAGCATCATGATATGGGCATGTTTCTCCTACTATGGTGTTGGGCCTATTTATCGCATACCAGGGATCATGGATCAGTTTGCATATGTCAAAATACTTGAAGAGGTCATGTTGCCTTATGCTGAAGAGGACATGCCCTTGAAATGGTTGTTTCAACAAGACAATGACCCCAAACACACTAGTAAACGAGCAAAGTCTTGGTTCCAAACCAACAAAATTAATGTTATGGAGTGGCCAGCCCAATCCCCGGACCTTAATCCAATCGAGAACTTGTGGGGTGATATCAAAAATGCTGTTTCTGAAGCAAAACCAAGAAATGTAAATGAATTGTGGAATGTTGTTAAAGAATCATGGAGTGGAATAACAGCTGAAAGGTGCCACAAGTTGGTTGACTCCATGCCACATATACATATTAAATAAATAAATAAAAATATTATAAAATCTTAGAAAACATAAAGTGCCCAGACTGTAAGTAAATTAGTATTACATCTTTTCAACATTAATGTAATAGCATGTAAACAGGAAAATGTAAACTTTATTCAAACTCTATTTGTGCCCAACACTGTGAAAACAATATTACTTCAAGTTTTTTGCCAGAAAAATGAGCATGTTGACTTTGGTAGGTTTTAAGGTGCGTTGGCATGTAACATTTCCTGGTGCACTAAAAAGTCTCTCTGAAGGTGAGCTGCTTGCAGGTATACAGAGGTACTTTCTAGCTAGTTTGCTCAGGTGTGGGAAGTTGACCTGATGGAGTTGCCACCAAGTGAGAGGGTTCTCCTCAGTGTCTACTGTGGGAGATACCAGGTAGCTGTTGAGCTCTGCCTCTACGGAGTGTGATGGTACCACAGATGAAGGAGCTGGGGATGTTTTGAAGAAACTGCCTAAGGATTTCTTGGCCTTCTTTTGGATTGCTTCTGATGGATCCATGCCTGCGTTTTGTTGCTCCTAGAATATGAAAATATGAAAATTCTATAAGTAAAATGTAGTTAGTAATTTGAATTTTTACTTACCGGTATTCACAAATTAACATTTAACTTTGACACAAGTGCTTCAATTTCAGACATCACTCTTGCTTTGATGTTGAGGACCTTGTCACTGCTGATGTAGCCAGCTTTGAATCTGGGATCCACAAAGGATGCCATGTCCAGAAGTTCTTGAGTAGCTGGGTTGTCATACTTTGTGTTCATGTAGTCCAGGATCTTTTTCTTTATGCACTTTGTTAAGTCACTGTCTTCGTCCTTTGCAGCAAGAAGAGAGGTGTTCATCACGTGTAGGACCGGTTTGACACATGAAACACTCACATCTCTTTCAGCAGAAAGGGCATCTGTGAACTCTTGTAGAGGCTGCAGTGCCTGGTTAATGGACTCCAGAACATCTAGGTCTTGCCTACTGGGTTGTTGCCCTCCTACGGCCTCCTCCACATCTCCTGATGTACTGGCCTGTCTCCTGGTAGCGCCTCCATGCTCTGGACACTACGCTGACAGACACAGGAAACCTTCTTGCCACAGCTCGCATTGATGTGCCATCCTGGATGAGCTGCACTACCTGAGCCACTTGTGTGGGTTGTAGACTCCGTCTCATGCTACCACTAGAGTGAAAGCACCGCCAGCATTCAAAAGTGACCAAACCATCAGCCAGAAAGCATAGGAACTGAGAAGTGGTCTGTGGTCACCACCTGCAGAACCACTCCTTTATTGGGGATGTCTTGCTACCTGCCTATGCTTTCCACCTGTTGTCTATTCCATTTGCACAACAGCATGTGGAATTGATTGTCAATCAGTGTTGCTACCTAAGTGGACAGTCTGATTTCACAGAAGTGTGATTGACTGGGAGTTACATTGTGTTGTTTAAGTGTTCCCTTTATTTTTTTGAGCAGTGTATTAGATGTTCAAAGAGCCTCACCACTTTGCCTTGATCGGTTTTCTATATATATATTTATTCCTCACATAGCCTATAGTAGGTTTAGAACTTTTCAAATCTCAGATGAAACAATGATCAGCACTGCTCACAAAGATACTCTTAATTTCTTTTCAGTTGTCCATTTCAAAAAGTCAAGCTGATGCTAACCCTGGTTTTTGCTTTGCCTCACTCTCCCTGTGTAAAGGAAGGCAGACAGCCATTGTTTTTTGCTGCCCTTCATGGCTGAGTGTTGGAAAGTGGATCTTGGGTGGGTTCTCGGTGGTGGACATGACTACTCATACTTCAGTAAAACCTATAACTTTTGCTAGGTGGCATATGGGGCTAATCCTCACATCTGAGAGGCTAGGACTACCAAATATTAGGAATCTCTGCTTAAAAATGACTAAAGTGAATAAATGACAATTAAAATAGATGCTAATAATTTTCTTTCAATCAACTAACCTAAACTTTGCAGTTCTAAATATAATCATAAGTCAGATAATATACACAGCAAACAGCCCATGGTCAAAATTAATTTTTAATGTTCATTTCCATTTGTGCCATTTCTTTAATTCAAATTTCTGCAATGATGTACATCCAGCAAGAGGAATTGGTTAAGATATGACTTGCATCATAACAAATGTGAAAAACAACCACCATCATGTACCACAAATATAGGTGTGTCTTGCATGCCAGGTAGCTGACACAGTTGTCACACACACTCGTGACTCTACGGGACAGAAGCAGGAAAGAGCTTGAATTTTGATCTGAATGTCATGTGTTCTGCATTTCCAGTGAGCAGGATAATTAACTGTATACGGAGGTAAAACGCAGAAAAAGGCTGAGCTGTCATAAGGTCACTTGTCAAACCTAAGACGACTTTACCAGAAAAACTTCAGTGTCAGGACCAACAACACTCCACTGACTGGCAATGGGAAAGAAAAAATGTACTTCTTGGTGATACTGGTGGGACATGATCAGTGGAAACCCAACCTTGTTTGATGTTGCAGCCTAACAGACGAACAGGAACACTTTATTTTAGAGTAAATGCTGCCTATAAAAACACAGGGCACTCAAAACTGGCACTGGGTTGGGTTACTATAATCTCTGGTGAGTGACTACAATTTAAAAAGGCTTACTTTAATTCAGTTACCCGAAATGGGACCTACAGCACTCATCTGACGACAACTGTCTGCATCCATCAGATGATGAGGACAGTAATTTGTGGCTCTTATTTGGCTCCTATGTAGATAATAATACTATAATCAGTAGGATTCCAACTTCATGCAACAACAATACAACAATTGTTCCACACACATAAATACACAAAAACAAACTAACAGGCTCATGGTTATGGTTCGTCTCACATTCATACATTACAGGCCAGATGTGCATGCAGGATGAGTCAAAACCGAACACAGTGTAAAAGTGACACCTTTCTTTTTTGCTTGTGTTTGAGAAACTGCTTGTATAATAACCTACAGCTTGTGCTGTTGCAATAAAGTTAGGGGAGACTTATCATTGATTGATATGACAAATGTGATCCTTGTACCCTTTCTGGCAGATCCAATGCATTATGGGGACAAAGGCAGACTTTGAACCATATACATATAAATACATAAAGTGCTTCTGTCAAAATAAAAAACATAAAAACAGTACAAAACAGTTTCCAGAAGAGAGGTATCAAAACAATGCACTTGGGAATATAAAGAATGGTGTCTGTTGGACATCAGGATTCCTGTGGTACAGACAAGTTGGTGGAACTTTTTAAATAAAAAAAAAATAATAAAAAAGAAAGAAAGAAAGATGAGCTGACAGACACATGGAGGTAAACAGGGGCAATTGACTTGAATTCAGCCCAGGATGAGGCTGGACTTGCCACCAGGGGGATTCCTGCGGCCTGACGGTAGCCCTGCAGTGGGCTCCTCTGCTGCAGGGGCATCCTCTTGTTGCTCTGGAGCTGCGTCAGACTCAGCAGCACTGTTGTCTGAACACAGGTAGGAAGACAAGTGACAAATTGCATTTGGAAACATCAACAAAGCAACAAGCCAAGTTCAAACAAGTCATTCTCTTAACCACAACCCGAAAGAACTCTTCAGCACAAACTGTTTATCCAAACTCCCATATGGGAGTTACGGTGATAATCCTGTGCACAGCCCAAGACGAGACAACTCCCACATGGACGTGTTAACATCTTGTGACATATTCCTCTCTTCTGTTTCACTCCGGTCACACAGATTTAGATGCATCTGTTTCTCTGCCTTCTTAATATCACTGCTGCTGAAAAAGCAGTTAATGCTGAATCAACCATTAACTCAGAAAACCTGCCATACAGTGTTTCACTTGTAATGTGAAAAGTGAAACCATAAGATTTATAACTATGAACATGTATACAAGCTCAGTAGCCAATCAGGGTTATCAAAAGAAATAACAGTCTGATCTTATGTACTTATTTATAGGACTAACTAGCTCAACTGGTGATGATGCAGGGACTATTTTTGCCATTTTAGCTTCAGTATTTCAGCACATAATCACGTACAATACATAGCAATGCAAATGCATATTTAAGACCCTTTTGCAAAATCCTTGTTTTAAAACAAGTCATTGTTTTGGAGAATGCCCTAAATACCAACAACGTGAGAATAAAATTTTTCCTGGAACACATTCATTTTCATCTGCTATGTGGCAGGAAGAAAACTCTGCCCTTTGCATTAGACCTGACTTGATATAATGTGCTGTCCAGTCTCATGCGTATGGCAAATATCGCACACGTATGTCATGGCTCTCTGTCATGGGTGTGATGAAGCCAGCAATGTTAACTATCCCAAGCCTGAAAGGGGCTTAATGTTTTCGACCACTGGTTCAGAATTGGCTTCCTTTTTCTCTTTCCTCCTGTCTTTGATTTTAAGTGTTGTACCCATTATGTAGACTAGATTATCAAGTACTGTTAAACAAGGTGATGTAATGTTTAGGGATTTTCAACCACAGGAACCTACTGACAAGGAGGTGCATGTAGAGATGCTGCAGGAGCTCGTAGACTGTTCTGCTTTGCAAACCAGAAACAGATATTGCCATTCGTGAGCTTTTGCAGTAAATCCTACGCCTTGCTTCAGACTGAAGAGACTCTGAGTGTTTTTTCAAAAAGATAAAGGAATCATCACTGGTGCGTGCCTGACTTTTACTGGCCTTTGTCAGGTACCACAACACCCCCTTCCTCTAAACAGAGACTGACACAGCAAAAACTACAATGGATAAACAAAGTAGGACATCCGTGGTCACCCAGTGAGGTTATGCTGGGTGACGATTAAGGGAAGCACAGGGTGTACTGCTTGTTAGGTTCCGACTGTGGAAATTCAGCTTGGTAAATCACGTGCTTACCATTATCATGTACAGAATTTTCTCCATCCTAAAAAAAAAAAAAATGCAGAAAGGAAGGTCAGTATTTCAACAGCTTGTACTGCATTGTTACGCTTGATGTAAAAATGTACTGAACAATAAAATCTAAGTAGCTAAAATGTCAGTAAGCTCTCATTCCTTTCTTATTGCTATATAAGTTACCATTGTGAGACATTAAAGGAAGATGAAAAATAAATAAGAGATATTTTAAACCATTTAGACTTCAGCTGTATACTTGTCTGCCCTCAGGTTTCACTTCTTTTCTCTCCACAGCTCATGATCAGAAGCATGATCTTACTATGGTGTAGGCGTCTGCAGAGTGATTGATGTTGTGGTTCCCTCCTCTCCTCAAAGGGGCTGACGGCTCACCACAAAGCACACCTGTGGGCTTCCCACCTGGAAAAACAAGGAGACCTAATGGCTCAGACTGGTAAGTCTTGACACAGGAGGTGCAAAGAGAACATAACAAATGCTCCAGTTGTTTTAGTGACAACTATCACGGTGTGTTGTATCATTCCAACATCACAATAAGTCAGACTGGGGCAAGAAACAAGCTGTTTGATGTATTATACTGGTTGTAAGGAAACAATTTATCCAGACCAACAAAGTGAGTGCACCAGAAAGGTTGGTAACAATCCCTCACTGCGCAGGACAACTACAGTGAAAACTGTGAACCAGGAGGTCAGTCTGTGAACTGTAAAGGATGTTTCCAGTCAACTGAACAATAATTTTCCTGTTCAGCTGCATTTCTTACAGACCTGCTTGTGCATCAGATGAAACCTCCAGTAAACAGATTAGGTTCACAGAGTAGGCTGCCACTGAGACAACAGAGTCAGCAGATGGCAGATTGTGACTCCGTGTCATAAAGTTAGATGCCATAAAACTCATCATTCAAGTACACAGAACAAAACTCAACAAAACTCAACATGTTATCAGACAGCAAGCCAGGCAGCAACAACAATCATATGACAGGGGCTGCTTTTGTTTGATGCAGACTGAAACTCTGTCAGAACACAGTGCTGTGCTTTGAGCTCAATGCTGACATCGGCATAAGTGTAAGAACATACTCAACGACAACATGTTGCTATCAGGCAGATACAGTATTTGCTGAGTTCATCATCTAACTCTGGCACTAAATCCAAAGTTCAGGTGAAGCTGGTGAGAATGTCATTAGTCTATCAAGTATTTAGTCAAAAACAAAAGTACTGAGCAGACTGATGATGGTGCTAAATGAAAAGTCAGGGGGTCACTAGAGTAAATAAAATGAATCCTGACAAGGGTTCATGAATGTATGTGTGCACTGTCACATTTTATTCTCACCCAAAACTCACAAATGTGAACCTTGTGATGCCACTAGGGGAAAGGTCAGGGATCACCAAAATCATTAGGATTCATCTGCCGAGTACCATGGATATCTGTGCCAAATTTTATGGCAGTTTATCCGATCGCTATTGAGCGATTACAGTCTGGAATGAGACACGGTGTAATGAGACACACCACTACTCCTTGACAATGCTAGCATGTTGAACAACAAAGACTGTTTGAAAGCTCCATTGTTAGAAATGAAACTCCATCTCAAATAAACATAACTGAACAATAGTATCTGAGGATAACAGGAAGAACCTGCTCTACAGGAAAATGACACTGGAGTTTTAGAAAAATGTACCAAAGGAGAAATATCCTATTGTCAAACAGCTTGTAAATCCTGTCACAAATACCCTCTATATTTCATTCTTCACAGATATACAAAAACACATAAGAAAATCTGCTATATTTTAAAAATGCAGAGTTTAAATAGTTTCCCTGTGTCTGTTTGGGTTCTCTCTGGGTACTCCAGCACAGTCCAAAGGCATGCAGCTTAGGTTGGCTAGCAATTATGAATTATCCATAGGAGTGAGTGTGGGTGTGTGTGGTTTTTATCTACATGCCAGCCCTGTGATAGACTGGTGATCCTGCCAGGGTGTACCCTACCTCTCACCCAACTTCAGGTGGGATCGGCTCTAGCCCCGCCCACAACCCTATTCAGGAATAGGTGGTAAAGAAGATGGATGGATGATTTCTGCTGGATATTGTCTCATTACTCATGAATTTGACAGGGGAAAAACCCTGATGTGACCCACTGTGCCAGACATCCTACACATGTCCTACTAGTTCCCCAGTGGGCTTTTTAGCCTGAAAGTTTCACTTCCACTACAAATGTCATACGTTTACAATAGGCCTGTTCAAATTTATGAGAATTCATAATAAAATATGCTGCTGTGTAGGCTTGTTCCCTGAGGCTGGGGAACAGCTGCGGCTGTTTTCTAACATTTTCAATCCCCTTATTGACAGGCTTATTGTCACTGAGTAGGAGTATTGTCTACTTTTGGGAATGAAAATTGCAGAATATAAAATAGGTTGGCGTTTTTGATCACGTCCAAAAGTTTCAACACACTGACGGCCATTCAAACTGCCGCCATTTTTTATGCCTCTGTAACAGTGTCAGCCACCACAGGAGGCGTTATGTATTCAGG